AGGCTAAAAAACTGTGAGCTAGCTCACACTCACTCAGCTTAGAGGGAACACTGCTCTGGAGCCCTCCTTCCCGAGCGAAGACAAAACTGTGTGAGCCGGAGGCTAAAAAACTGTGAGCTAGCTCACACTCACTCAGCTTAGAGGGAACACTGTTAGCAAGTTCTTTTTTGACCGGGGCCCCTGTTTTTAATGAAGCAAGGGCCAGGGATCACCCTCAGAAGGCTCTAGAGGGCTCTCCCTTCTCCCTCCGTGAGCCACAAGGGAGGCTTGGGCAGGGCAGTTTTCCTGGGGCACCTCAGCTGGGAGTCCCTTGGCTCCCGTGGGAGTCAGCAGCTGAGAGCGCAGAAGGGGAGGACACTGTTACTGCTCCACTGTTGGCCGTTCACACTGGCTGCATCAAGAGTCCTTCCTTCTACCCTGGAAACAACCGATGTGCCTGAAGGTTGATGGCCAGGGGGAGGGGGAGGATCTTTGGGGCCAGGGGGCCGTGCTGGAATCTCTGGGCTCTAACTTGCCTGTCCTCCGTCTAAGGTATTACTAATGGTCTCTGGGTTTTTTACCCTTCGCCCAGCCACTGCTCTATGCAGGCCAGTGATGTTCGATCCGGCAAGCAGCAATTTTCGAAGTCCCGAGAGACCAGGTCTCCTGCCTGAGGTCCAGACACAACCACTGCACAATGTGAGACCAGACATTGACTGACATTCCCTGCAGCCAGGCAGCAGCTACGGGGAACGTATTTCACAAACACCTGAGGGCCCAGTTCAGATCGGAACTGCAGGGGGGGAGGCCCTTCAGCCTGCTCCTAGAGCCATTCTCTCAATCTGAAATAACTCCATGGGGGGGCATTACTTGCCGCACTGGGGAGCTGGCACGTGCTCTGAATACTTCAAAAATTGATGCAAATAATGCCTTGTTGAGACTGTTTTGGGTCAGGAAAGCAGCACAGGAAGGCTGAAGCACCCCCCCCCCCCATAGTCCTGATCTGAATCAGACCCTGGGGAAATGAGTTCTGCACGGCTGTTATCTGCCTGCAGGGAATACGAGCCGGCTCAGGAAAACCCCGACCCAATCTGTGTCCGTCTGTATCAAGTAGTTTGTATCTCAGAGCCTTCAGATGGAGAACAGGTCCAAGGCATTTGCGCTATTCCACTACAATGCGGTGGTTCTGCTTCACCTCTAGGTCTGTATGACGACTGTCTTCCTTTTCATCCCCTTTCTAGGAGGCTGTGCCTGAAGCCGCGGCAGCAGCAGCACCGGAAGCTCCATCTGTCTGGCGCGCTGGATGCCTCCAAGAAGGACCAGGCCACCTCCATGTCCCAGATCAACCTCATCTGCACGAGCCACCTGGAAACGGCCTCGTCCAACGGGGACATGGACGTCCACACGCCCATCCTCAAGTCGGCCTTCTCCTCCTCCCGCGAATTCGAGAGCTCTCGCGAGGAGTTCTTCAAGCAGATGTCCAGCCAGAAGGCGCGCCATGCCAGCAAGGCCTCCGCAGCGGACACGCTCAGCCAGAGGGGGACCGCCAAAGACGACTACCCTCGCGTGACGGAGGGCTACTCGCTCAAGGCAGCCCGCTCTATGGATGTCCCTGGCCCGCTTGAGCCCCCGCTCTTGGAGGACTACAAGCGCAGCTACTCCCACCAGCGCATGGAGGACAAGAGCACCGAGACGCAGCGCAAGCAAGGCCGCAGCGACGGCAAGGCCTACCTGCAGGAGCCCCCCTCGCCGCCCCCTCTCCCGCCACCCTTTGACCACTATATGGGCCACAAAGGGGACCCCAAGCCCCCCGACTACATGCTGTCCCAGTCGGTAGACCACCTGGCTCGCCCCACCTCCCTGAGCCAGCCCGGGCAGTTGATCTTCTGCGGTTCCATCGACCACATGAAGGACACCATGTATCGCAACGTCATGCCGACCCTCGTCATCCCGGCCCACTACATGCGCTTGGCACCGTCCGAGCAGCCTCCGGGAAGCTCCGAGAACCCGCCGGACATGGACCCAGCCGGCCTGGGGCTGCCCCACCAGTTTGGCCCCCAGGATCAGCAGCGGCAGCAGCTCCTCCAGCAGCAGCTCCAGCACCCGCAGTTCCAGCTGCAGCCGCACTCGTCGGAAGAGGCGGAGGGGAAGGGCTGGGGCCCCCACGCCCAGTCCGTCAGCGGCTCGGTCACTATCCCCGTGCTGCTGAACGAGTCCACCATGGCCCAGCTGAACGGGGAGCTGCAGGCTCTCACCGAGAAGAAGCTGCTGGAGCTGGGGGTGAAGCAGCACCCGCGGGCCTGGTTCGTGTCCCTGGACGGGCGCTCCTCGCAGGTCCGCCACTCGTACATCGACCTCCAGGGCAACGAGAGGAGCCGGAGCAACGACGCCAGCCTCGACTCGGGCGTGGACGTCAACGAGGCCAAGCCGCCGAAGCGCCTCAAGGAGGAGCGCCTGGCCTCCACGATGGCCCCCGCCTACTCCAAGCTGGTCTTCGCCGACGCCGACACGGAGCAGAGCAGCAGCGAGAGCCGCACCGCCATCTGCTCGCCCGAGGACAACTCCCTGACCCCCCTGCTGGACGAGAACGCCGACCACCGCGCCGCCACCATCCCCCGGCGCGGGCGCAGCCGCGGCAACAGCTCCCGCAGCAGCAACAGCAACAGCGAGCTGCGGCGCGACTCCATGACCAGCCCCGAGGACGACAGCAACGAGCCCTCCGAGGGGACGGACGACCAGGGCGACAAGAAGAGCCCCTGGCAGAAGCGCGAGGAGCGGCCCCTCATGGTCTTCAACGTGAAGTAGCCGGCAGGCGGATGGAGTCGCCCTCCCTGGGCGGGGAGGGACACGAGGGGCGGAGCCTGCGGAGGACACGCCCCCCTCTTTCCTTCCTTCCTTCCGTCGGGTCAAGGCTTGGCAGAGCAGAAGGCCCAGAAACAACACGACAGCAGAGAGAACCAGACTGGACAAGAAGATGGGGCGGAGGGCGCGGCCCAGCTTTCCCCCTGTTGTCCCAGCATGCCCCGTGGTCACTCGTGAGGCTCGTCCTGCCCGAAGCGGGGTGAAGAAGCACCATTGCCAACCGCCTTTTGGCCTTTCCCCCCTTTTTGCACCAACACCAGCCAGCCTGAGCCAGGCCGCGCGGGGCGCAGGGATCGCCGGGAACATGACGGCTACAAGGGAGGTTTCCCTCCCCGTCCCCCCGTCCCGACTCCGAGCCAGTCGCCAGGAGGAGGATGTGGCTCAGCCCGTGTCATCCCAAGGCCACTTCCCAGAATCCCTTGCTTCTCACCGAGCTCGGCATGGCTGGAACTAAGACTGGCCCCCTTGTCGTGGCGCTCGGGGGGGTGTGCGTGTGCAACTGAAGGCATTACTGGGACTTACCCTTACCCTTACGGGGGGTTGTACAGTTCCTTAAAAACAATGTGGATTTTCCAAGCCGCAGGACAGTTCAGAGTGGGGGCGGGGAGGGGCAAGTGCACCCGGGCCCCGGGTTGACGCCCTTTCTTTGCCTGTCGTGCCTCAATGCCCCGACCACCTAGGTGACGGCACGGAGCCCGGGCAAGTGCGGCGGGTCTGGATGGGGGTGGG